AATTTCTATAAAAATAAACAGACATTTAAATAATTGTTTACAACATAAAACTGTTAGAATTTGTTTGCATAGAGACAATGAGTGAGAGCTTTAAAGCTCCAGAACCAGCCTTAGTAAGAGCTGGAGAACTGTATCAGTGGAAAACACAGTTTGACCTGCATCAGATTGTTCTGATATACACATCATCAAATATTTTCCGTTACAAACACTCATTATTTTTTAATGTTTAGCATAAAATTTATGTGGGCATTTCTTTTCTTTTTTTCTTTTTAAGGCTGTATGATGACTCAGTTGGTTAGTGTTGTTTTCAGTAGAAAGGTCCTTGGTTTGATTCCTATCTAGGATCTTCCGTCACGTTATATAATAAATGGCCTGCATTGCCTTTTCACAAGCCAAAATAGTTTGTGAAAAGAAAATTAAAGAGCGCTGCTGAATGGGGGGGAAAAGACGAAGAAATGAAGCTCTTTGCACGGCTCCAAAAATAGCGTTGTTAGACCCTGGGTGCGCTTGTCTCCATGGTGACAAAGAGTGCAGTCCTCTTGGAGCTAGTGGTGTCTTGTGATGGTGGGAGAGGACCTTCTCCAACGTGGACACACACACACACACACACACACACACACACACCGCGAGACACTGAGATACACACAGACACTTAAAAACAAGAGTTTGATCTTTGCAGCTGCAGCTGGTGCAGCTGTCAGACGCTCGCTGATGAGTTGTGGTTGTAAAGAAGTTTGTCTTTTCTTTGACATTTTTCTTAAGAAGTAAAAGAAAAAGAAGTGAAATAAGTGTTTGTGATTTCTTATTTTATTTTTTTTACTTTTTGCAGATTTTTGGAGTCACGCTCCTATTTTATTTGTATTGTATCAAAATTAAACAAGCCCACCAAGCATGTGGAAAACCAAATCTATAAGTTCATCAACATGTCTATGCTGTTAACCATTTTAATAGCTTAGTAATATTTATATTTTTTAACAAATTTATTAGAGGTGCAAAATCTCTCATTAGTTTTCCTTCATCAGAAGTCACTTCTCAGCAGAAGTGAATGAGCAACAGCTCACTTTTTAGCTCAAAAACATCAATTTGCTCAAATTTCAGACAATGTTGCTCCCAGAATGACCACATAAATTGTTTGAAATATGACCGTCTCTTTTTCTAAAGCCTCAGGTTGGTTCTGAAATTGGATTGGTCTTGACTTCTCACAGTTAGTGGGTGGAACTGAAACAATCGTGAAAGCTGTCCCTCAGGCTGTCTCTCTTTTCTTATTTCATGTGCTTCTGTGAAACAGGAAATGTCCGTGTCTGCACGTTTTGTGTGTGTGTGTGTGTGTGTGTGTGTGTGTGTGTGTGTGTGTGTGTGTGTGTGTGTGTGTGTGTGTGTGT